ACGCACCGGGGGAGAGGACATCAGACCAGGGGACGTGCCGTGGCACTGGGGGACATGTTGGGGGACACACACGGGGCACGCCAGGGGACACACTGGGGGACGGGGGGCACACCGGGTGTGCAAAGAGGATTTATGGGGGTGTGCAAAGGCAGCTCCGGGGGCATGCAAGGGAGCGGGGGGCACGGGAGAAGGGGGCTTAGGAGGGTGTGCAGGAGGGGACGTGCACGAGGGGGATCCACGCACAAGGGGGGGGTCTGTGCACAAGGGGGGTCCGGGCGGGTCGTTACCTGTCCAGAGGTGGAGACCGTCGAAGGCGAAGGAGCAGAGGTCGTCACCGGCTCCCTTGCCCCCCCAGCCTTCGCCCCCCCCCGGGTAGGGGCTGTAGCCCCCGGCTGCCGCCCAGCCCACCCGGAGGTGGGTGGGCTGCGCCGTGAGGAAGGGCTGCACCCGCTCCACCGCCACCTCGAAGTACCACTTGCTGTACTGCGTCGAGCCCTCGTGCGTGCCCAGGAAGATGTTGGGGCGCACGCTGCGGTGGGGAGGAGGGGGTCAGCACCGGGGACCCCCCAGGAGCACCCAGAGAACCCCAGGAGCACCCAGAGACCCCCAGGAGCAACCCATGGGCACCCAGAGACCCCAAGGAGCACCCCAAGACCCCCAGGAGCAATCCATGGGCACCCTGAGACCCCTAGGAGCACTCAGAGAAACCCAGGAACATCCCATGGGTACCCAGGAACATCTCAGGAGACCCTAGGACCCCTCTGAGACCCCCATGAGCATCCTAAGACCCCTAGGAACAACCCAAAGGTCCCCAGAACCCCCCAGGAGCACCCCAAGAATACCAGGAGCATCCCATGGGCAGCTAGGAGCACTCCAGGATGCTCCAAGTCCCCCAGGAGCTCCTCAAGACCCCCCAGCACCCCTCCAATTCCCCCAGGAGCACCCCAAGTCCCACAGGAGCACCCCAAGTCCCACAGGACCATCCTAAGGACAACCAGAACCCCTCCAAGACACCCCAGGACTCCTCCAAGACCCCCAGGAGCACCCCAAGTCCCACAGGACCATCCTATGGACAACCAGAAACCCTCCAAGAACCCACAGGGAACAACTCAAGGTCCTCCAGGACCTCCCAGGACCCCCAGGAGCACCCTAAGCCCCGCAGCCCCACCAAGGACCCCCCACCCACCTGGTGACGTAGTTGACCAGCCCAGTCTGGAGCAGTAGGTCCCGCCGGGGCAGGAGGTTCTCGGTGATGAGGTTCTGGTTGGAGCGGACGGCCACGGCATTGCAGACACAGAGGGAGCAGAGCACATCCAGCACCTGGGAGAGGGGGGGGACACGACACATGGACACGCCTGCACATGCCTGCACACACGTGTGCATGCTTCCCCCCCCCCCAAAGGAGGGGACCCCTCCTCACTTTGTGGTTGCGGCCGTGCTTGTCCAGGAGGGAGATGATGGACTTGATGTGGTTCTCCTGGATGATGTTGAGGACCTCGGGGCTTTCAATGAGGACGCAGTACAGCACCTCCAGGATACCTGTGGGAGGGACCCCAGACCCCTGTCAGGGACCCCAGACCCATAGGAGGGTCCCTATACCCATAGGAGGGTCCCATTCCTCGTGCAAGGGTCACTGGCTCCATATGAAGGTACTCAGCTCCGTGCATGGACTCCAGCTCCATTTAAGGGTCCTCAGCCCCATAGGAGGGTCCTCAGCCACATAGGAGGGTCCCCAGCCCACCATGAGCCCCCCCAGCCCCCCACGAGGTCCCCACTGACCCGAGGAGGCCTCCAGCCGGTCCAGCTTGCTGACCAGCCAGTCCAGGTTGGTGGAGAAGAGGGCGCAGTTGGCGCGGTTTCCCCGGATCAACGAGGCTGGGGGGCACCGGGGGGGGGGTGTCAGAGACCCACAGCACCCCCAACTGCCCCGGGCACCAGCCCCTGCTCACCCCATGGCACCTCATACCACCCCATAGCACCCCATATTGCTCCATAGCCCTTTGTCCCACCCCATAGCCCCCATCCTGCCCCATGGCACCCTGTCCCACCCCATAGCACC